TGCTGAGGAATGCAGAGCTACAGGCAGCTGGCCCTGCCCCCACCCCCACTGCCAGCTGCGTGCAGGCCACTCTCCACCAGCCTCAGGGGGGCCAGCCCAGCCTAGAGAAAAGACCACTGTCACAGTGGGCGTCCACTCAGGCAGGCAGAGGGAGAGGGACCCAGGACACTCCTTCCCACAGCTCAGAGCAGCCAGCCAGAGGGGACAGACGGACAGATGGAGGGAGCTGGAGCCACCCAGGGGAGAGGATGCTGCTGCCGCCCGCCCTGGGGGCCTCAGAGCCTCTCCGTCTCGCCTCGCGGATACAGGGGAGATCTCTGGGGCCTAGGCCCCAACCCAGCTCCTGTCCCAGCCCCTCGAGTTGTTCACAGGGGAGGTCACAGAAGACACTGCTTCCCTCTGTCTAGGAGATCCAGGACGACTGGGCTCTGACCGGGGACTGGGTTGTGTGTAAGGTAGAGGGCTGAGAACAGCAAGAGATGGGACTGCCCCCGAAACTTCCTGCCCTAGACAGGGGCAAGGGGAACCCAGGGAGAAAGACAGATGCAGGGGACCGCTGCAGGGGTCTAAGAGAGGGAGAATGAGGAGGGAGAAGCTCCCCCAGACAAGGGAACAGCCTGGATTCAGTTGTAGGCAGTCCCAAGCTGAGTGACCTCACAGAACTGGGACAGTCGGAATTGGTTCTGTCAGCTCTCAGGGGCCTTCCCGCCCGCGTGCACCCCACTGTGCGGGGCCCAGCATTGGAAGACGCCGAAGCATCATCGAGCAAACGGGCAACAGAGCCAGGGGGTGGCACAGAGCAAAATAAGGAGTGGGTGCTTGCAAAGGCAGTGCCCCGAGTTCAAGTCCAGACTCCTCCATCTCCTGGCTGTGTCTGCTCACCTGTACAAGGGGACCCAGTTCAGTTACTGGCAGGATCAATGCCTGGCACAGAGTAAGGGCTCGATAAATCAGAGCACTGAGCTGCTGCCCGGTCCCTGCCCTACACAGCGCGCCTCCTGCTCTACATAAGTACACAGATTTTTGTTCACGGTGAACAGTTCACTGTAGCTTAAACCAGAGGGACACTGCTGAGCTGCGTGTAAGCGAGGCCTCCTGTCTACAGTCTGTTCATACTTCACTCTCTCCTAGAACCATACACCTTCTGTTTCACTCAAACCACGACTGCTTGCAAATGAACAAATCAGGTGTCACCATTCTCTGGCGGGTAAAACTGAGGCCCGGAAGAACAAACAGGCCAGTAGATGTGCTGCCCAGGCTCTAGCGCTACCCTTTGCTGTGACAGTATGGGTGTCAGGCATGGGTCAACTCCACCACTTCCCTGGCCCTGGGCCCACCCCGCCCCACCTCCACTTGGAGGCTCTCAAACACAGATCAGGCCGGCTGGGTATGGAGGGTGGTTTCCGGGGCCTGTGGTTACTACACTTCCTTGTGATGACATAAACCTCACTTCTGCAGCAGGAGGCAACCACCTCGAGTCTCAGGTCTGCACACAGCCCTGTCTGGGCCTCGGTTCCCAGATCCATACGTCAGGCACTGATTGTGCTGCCTGGCTTTGCACTCTGCAGGCACCCGTCATGCCCACCCCTACGCAGCTGCTTCTGTCTTCTTCAGTCTCTCCCCAGCTACGCACAGCTCCCGATTCAAAATTCAGACCGTTGATGACCAAGACTGGAGTAGCCTGGAGCTCGGGAAATAACTGCAGCTGGAGAGTCCAGATGGGACGCGGCAGGTGTGCGATCTAACACTGGCGGGGGCTGCCCCGGCCCTCCCCACCCCTGCTCAACCAGAGTCGCTGGGGATGGATGTGGGGCTGGCCAAGGCACCTCCTCCTCCTCAGCGGACTAGAGGAAGGAAGCTTAGAGAACCCAGCAGAGATAAGGGGGGAGGGGGCTAGGCAACAGCGAAGGCTCCCCTCATGGTGGGGGCTCAGAGCTAGGGGCTTGAAAGGGTCTTAAATAAACTCTCCATGTGACTTGGCTTCCTTCCCCAATTTCAACTTTGCCAACTTGCATTTCTTAACCGCCACCCCTTCCCCCATTTGTCAGCCTCCATTTCTGCAGTTCAGTCTCACTGCGCCCCACCCCCACCCCCAGGTATAGCCCAGGAAGCTCCGAGGCCTTGCAGTACAAGGGGATTAATGGATAAAGCGATCACAGGGCAAAGCCGACTGGCCTGGGTTCAGAGGCAGACGGGCTGGACCCCGCCATGCTCGGGGTCTGCTCACCCCTAGACCTTCTCCCCTATTGTAAAGCCCCAGGCCCTGGAAGTCTCCTCGCCCAGCTTTCCAGGACCCCAGGCCTTCCCGGCAGCACTGTGCAGACGGCCAGCTTTGATCCTCATCCCAGACAGATGACAGGGCCAAGAGCCCTGGCACTTCTCACCTAGTGCAGCAGCCCAGGGGTCTCCACACACACACACACACACACACACACACCAGACCACGTCTGCCTCACTGCTGGCTTCCCTGCCCACCAAGCTGGACTGCACTGGGAATTCATAAAGCACTTCAGTTAGAAACCAGGCTGGAACAAGGCTGGCCCCAGCAGGAGCTGCGGAGCCTGGGGCAGAGGTGTGCTCTCCAGGCAATCCCAAATCCCCAGCCCTTTGCAAAACTGCTCCACGCCTCTGCAGCTTGCCTCCCAATCCTTTAGGTGAAACAACTGATTCCTGGAAGATGGGCTGGGAAGTAGCAGGGAACCCAAAAGCAAGAACGACACCCCCCCAACACACATAGAGCCCATCACTGCCACCATCTGCTCCCCCTCCCAGCCCCAGGCCTAGCCCAGTCCTATCCTCAGCTCTGATTAGAAACTGGGTTCTGTCCAGGCATTGTCTGCCTTCCACGGCCGGCTGCCCATTGAGGTCTGGCGTGTGCTGGGGCTGGGCACCCGTGGTGGGGTGGGAGGAGAGGAGTGGGCGGGGCCCTAGTCTTCAGAGCCCCCGAAAGCCTGGCTGAAATCCACCCCCCCCCCACATCAGCAACTCAAAGACGGCAGGTGGGAAGTAGAGATGACCCTCACTGCCCTGAAGGACCCCGGAGCAGACCAGTCCCTCTCCAGACAGGGTCCGAGCAGCTGGTGAGAGTGGGGAGCAAAGCCAAGGTTCTCCTCACTCCTCTACCCAAGGGCACAAGCCCGCGAGGTCCCCGCACAAGCCCAGGGCCCGGGCCCGCCTGCGGACCCTGAGCAGAGGGGAAGGTCTTTTGTTTGGCTCTCCCCTGCAAGATGGGTTCTCAAGGAAAGCCCCTCTCAAGGGCACCCCAAGCCCCTTCCTTCTCAGCCCTGTCTCTCGCTGGGTTGGGGCTACAGCTTCATTTCCCTTTTATGGCACTCCCGATCTGCCGCAGATGCCATATTTACATTCCCACTCCCACCCCCATCCGCAGGCTCCTGCTGCAGTGTCAGCCCAGGCAGCAGCCTGGCCCCGCCCTGGCCAGCGCACCAGGCACCTGCGGGCTCCTCTTTGTCTCCCAGGCTATTGATGGCCAGGAAGCTGTCGCCCCAGTGACGCTGTGCAGCAGCCTGGGGTGTAAGTGCAGGGGTGAGCCTCCATCGCCCTCCTGCACCCTGTGATCAGGGGTCAGCTCCGCTCCCCACTCCTGGGGCTGCAGAGGGGTGGCCAGGTGACTGGGGGGTGGGGTGGGGGCATCTGCCCTGGGGCAGGAACAGGAAGCGTTTCCATGATTGCCATCGCTGGAGGCAACTTCCCAGGACCCTTGGAATCTGGGTCACCCCAGATTCAGGGGATCTAGGGACAGGTCTCAGAAACACACCCCAGCCCGCCACCCACCCCCACACCCCCTCATCACATAGGGCTGGGGCAGAGCCGGAGGGTCCCTTCCACATCCCTGCCATGGGGACCAGCCCCGGGCGGGCACACTCCGGAGGACACACCCCTCCCAGAGAGAAACCCCAAACAAAAGCAGAGCCTCTGGATCCAGCACAAAGAACACACATGGCTCAACTTGGAGTATTTCCTGCCCCTGCACCCCGGCGCGCCCCTGCCTGCAGAACCCACCCCCCCAGCCCACCCTCGCCGATTTCTGTCAAGGCGTCCCTTCCAGCGCGGTCGGTCCACGCGGTCCCTGGGCGCCTCGCCACGATGGTGCCTGAGGACGGCGCCCTCGGGTGCACCTCGGCGCACCTCTTCCGAGCCCCCTGCCCGAGACCCCGCCGGCTGCTCCGGGGACGGCGCCCGCGGAAGACCGAGGCCCCCGCCCCGACCTCCCTCTGCGGAGCTCGTGGGGCCCCGGGCGCCGGACAGGCCGGCCAGGGGCCGAGGGGAGCAGTTTCCCCTCAGGGACCCGTGATGAGCCGGCGGCCTCGCGGGAGGCGGAGCGGAAGCACACGGCCGCCCGGCCGGGCCAGGGCTGGGTGTGAAATACCGGATTTCCTTGTTTATTCGATTTTCCGATCATCGAGGGCTCCCAGGAGGGGCCCGAAATCGCCACGCGAACAAAGCCCCCTCTCCAGCCGGCCGCGGCGCGCCCCCGCGAGACAAAGCCCGAGCCCCTCGGCGCGCTCCTGCCCACCTGACGGCCACCTTGACGCAGCAGTCCCCCTGGCCGGCCATGGTCCTCGGTGCTGGTCCGGCGCGGCTCAGGGGCGGGGGTCCGGGGGCCGAGGCCCGAGGCGGCGGCGGGCAGCGGCGGCCGGCGACATGCTCGCGGCGGCGGCGGCGGCGGCGGGGGGCTCACCCGCGCCCGGCCCCCCGCGACGGGACCCGCGCGCCCCCTCGCGCCATGGGCGGCGGCGCGGCGCTCGCTGACAGCCGGCAGCGCGCCCCGCGCTCCTCACACCGCGCGGCTCCCGCGCGCGCAGCTCGGCCGGGCCGCGCCTCCCGCCGCGGCGCGAACACAGGGGGCGGGGCTGCTGGACGGGCCCGCCCTCCAGGGGCCACCAATCCGAGGCCCGCACGAGCAGAGGGGGCGGGGTTAGCTCCTTTAAAGGGCCCTCCTGGCTCGCGGCCACCCGGTGGCAGGGGGTGGGGGCGGGCGGGACTGGAGGTTGGGCGGGGGGCGGGGCGGGGATCCAGGGCCTTGGACCCTCGGATGAGGAAACTGGGACGCGAATTGGGGAACCACCCAAGGTCACGCGGCGAGGCGGTGGCTACGCATAGGTCGCAGCCCCGGGCACCGGGCAGGGCGCTGCCCTTCAAAGCAGCCCACAGCGACTAGCGGTTTATGCTTGGAAGCTAGGGAGGCTTCCTTCTGCGTTTATTCCTGTAAACCCGGCAACCTGCTCTGACGGCGATTCCTGCAGGCGAATACCTAAAAAACCCCGCCTCCTCCCGCGGTATCTCCGAGCGCATCCCACGGTGGCTTCCGGGCTGCTGTGACCTTTATGACCCACAGACGACCCCCCACGGGCCGGCTCTCACGCTGCCCCTTGGGACGGCGGGGGCCGGGGGTCAGTGTGGGAGGCCCGAACCGCCCCGGGGGTAGGAGGGAACAAAGCGGGCACTCAGCTCCGGCACCTGGGTAAGTGGGCCGCGAAGGGGAGGAGGAGCTGCCCGCAGGAGCGGATAAAAGGACCGGGCAGTGGCGGAGGAGACCCGGCCTCCCAGTCGCCTCCGCTCCTCCCTGCCCCCCAGCCCCCAACATTGGGGCCATTCACAGGGCCCCTCACCAGCTGCCCTACCCTCCCCTGCCCCCTCCCCTGACAAAGGTCCAGCTGCGACTCCAGATGCAGAGGGAGATCCTTGGGGGAGGGGGAGTCTCCTCCAAGCCTCTTGCATCATCCTCAGATGATGCAACCTTCTCAGACATGTGACGAGTGCGTGGGTGAGGGTCTGAGGCTGCACCTGCGATGCCACCTTCCGCCCCTCCCCCATAACTGCTCCACCCAGTAGCCCAGAAAACAAAGATGATGTCAAGGTCGAATCGACGCACTCCTCTCATCCTCCTGGCCAACAGGAGACTACCGCGGCAGCTCCCAAGGAAAGGTGGGAAGTCACGGGGGTCTCCTGTGTCTTTCACCAGCATCGGGACCCACAGGAAGCTCTCTGGTGGACAGGGGGTCGCTCTCCCAGAGCAGGAGCCCGTTAGGTGTCCGGTCAGGTCTCGGGCACTCCCTCCTGGTCTTGGAGCCAGTGTAAGAGGGGAAGTGGAGTAACACCTGTGGGCCACCTACACCAAGACTGTCCTTGCTGCGCATGCGCGTCCTTGCTCGTCCTCATCGCCTTGTGAGCTAAGAGCAGCTGTCTTTCTCTTTCGGTTTGGAGATGAAGAAACGGAGTCTTGTCAGGATGTGAACTCGCGCGCTGGTTCCAGACTCACCTCCGAGGAGGAGTCTGGCTGCAGCAGCGCCGGGCTGGCCCTGGGGTTTTCCTCCAGGTACGGGGAGCCCCTGCTCAGCCCACCACCGTGACCCTGCAGAGCTGCTGCCTTGCCCGCTTGGAGTCCCCTGGCCTTCTCTGGGGCCAACTCTGATTTCCCGCTCACACGAGGTCCCTTCTGACTCACAGGTCCACTGCTGGGAAGTGCAGCCACTGCCCACCCCTTCTCGGTCCCTCCAGGCCACAGGATGTAAAACCAGGGGAAGCCCGGAGTACAAGGGGCTAGCAACCCAGGCCTCCTGGAGGTCAGGGCCTCGGGACTGCAGCACCTCAGCGACTCCCTCCTGGACCCCCAGGGAGCAGCACGGAGGCTGGGTGTCTACACCGGGACCTTGGCTCTGCTGCCCAGCCCTGAGGAGGTGAGTAGACAAAGGCCAGACGGGATCCAAGGTGGGAAAGAGGCTTAAACAGCGGCTTGGAGAGATTTGGGCTTGGTGGTTGGAGGAGGCCTAGGACGACTCCTACCCCTCTGGGGCTCTGTCCAGCTCCCACACAGCCCCTGCTTCCTCCTCCCTGGTTTGTTCCCACCCCCTCCCTCCCACCTCCTCCTGGCTGCTCCTTCCTTCTCTGCTTGGCAACCGCTGAGGTTTCTCAGGATCGGCTGCTTAAATGCAAGTTTTCTGCACCCTCCACCTGTCAGAAACATGCAAACACACACACGCACGCACGCACACACGCACACACGCACTCATGCCCTGAGTTGGCCCCGAGTTCCCTCACTGCCCTGGAGTTTGAAACCAGCTCTGCCTGGCTCTGAGGCCCTTCCCGGGCGTCTTGGGGCCGCCGTCATTCCTCCTGACGGGAGCTGTGGGCGTCGGAGCAGATGGAACCTGGGGGAGGGGCCCTCTCCCAGGCAGGGCGCTCCCACGCTACTGTAGTAAAATACTCCAGCCCGGCTCAGGGAAGGCATCTGGCTCCGCGCTCTCACGCAGTCGCAGCTCCAGCAACCCTACAGGAAGGGACCAAGGCCCTAGGAATGTCTCCAGAGGTCCTAGGAATGCCTCCATAGGCCCTAGGAATGTCTCCAGAGGCGCTAGGAATGTCTCCAGAGGCCGGAGTCCATTTCATCTTCCTCAAGTGGGACACTGGGCATTGATATTTCCAAAAACTACCAGAACCTGGACCTACCATTCTAGAGGCGGGAAATGGAGGTCCAGGCCTCCAGTCCTAACCCCCACCCTGTCCCCAGCAGCTATGCTGGGCTCTAGGGGGGAACAAGTGTTAGCCACCCTGTGGGCATATGGTCTCGTCTTGCTCTCCAGTGCCCACCTAGAGACAGAACCCCGTTTGGCAGCCAACAGGAGCTCCGAACCAACTGGGATGTGGGTCCAGGAGATCTCAGCTCAGGCACAGGCTCGGCCTAACTTCCCCCGTTACAGGAGGAGGCGGACACAGCCGCAGAGGAAACCAGGGTTTGTTATAAATAGCAAGGGAGGCAAGAGCGACTGTGGATTGCACACACCCCCGTAAGCCTTAAAAAAGCCCGTTTTTGGTTTCTAATGCTAACAAAGGTTTAATGAATGCTCTGTATAACCTCAAACATGTGCTCCTTCTCTCCCTCGACTGTGCAATGCTTTCTGATACAGCACTAGGGCACAGGCAGACCAGGTGGGAGCAATTGCCAACGTCACCAATCCCAGACTTGGGAAGTTTTCCTAAGATCACCTAGTCCAGCCCCTTCATTTTCAGGGGAAGAAACTGAGGCCTAGGGGAGGTGAAGGGACTTGTCCACAGTGGCACAGTGACCAAGCGGTGATGAATGCCCAGTCCCTGTACTCTGAGGGCAGGACAGTTTCCACAACAGTTCCACGGGACCCAAAGGCTGAACCTCAAAGTGGGGGCTGTGGCAGGTTAATGGTCTTCATAAAAGTTAGGTCTGGGGGCCGGCACTGTAGTGTAGCGGGTAAAGCCTCCATCTCTGGTGCCAGCATCCAATATGGGTGCTGGTTCGAGTCCTGGCTGCTCCACTTCTGATCCAGCTCTCTGCAGTAGAAGATGGCCCAAGTGCTTGGGGCCCTGGACCCACGTTGGAGACCCAGATGAAGCTCGTGGCTCCTGGCTTTGAATCGACCCAGCTCCGGCTGTTGCAGCCATTTGGGGAGTGAACCAGTACAGATGGAAGAGCTTTCTCTCTTTCTCTCCCTCTGTCTGTAACTCTGCCTCTCAAATAAATAAATAAATCTAAAAAAAAAAAAAAAAGGGTAGCTTCTCTGGGATCATCTGTCCTTGTTCAATGAGCCAGACAGAGGGTGGATTTGTCATAATGAAGTCTCAGAGATGAGTGTGAATGGGGCTGTGGGCCGGGGAAGGGACGGTGATGAGACTTGCCTGCCCCCAAAGGTCAGTGCCAGAGCCCCAGGGTGGGAGAAGGCAGATTTGTAGAAAGTTTGCCAGCCTCTGTTGGAAACTCAGAAAACTGGAGGCTCGGGAGACAAGGTGAGCGTTGGCAGAAGCAGGAGGAAACCTTGGGGGCTGGTGTTGTGGTACAGTGGGTTGGGCCGTCCATATTAGAGTGCCAGGTCAAGTTCCAGCCGCTCTGTTTCCCATCCAGCTTCCTGCTAGCACACCTGGGAAAGCTGCGGGTGATGGCCCAGGTACTGGGGCTCCTGTCACTCATGTGGGAGACCCAGATGGAGTTCCTGGCTCCAACAGCCCAGACCTGGCTGTTGTGGTCATTTGGAGAGTGAACCAGCAGATGGAGGATCTCTCTCTCTCTCTCTCTCTCTCTCTCTCTCTCTCTATATATATATATATATATATCTTTGTTGCTTTGCCTTTCAAATAAATAAATACATATTTTTTAAGGCTGAGAGAGGGAAGCTTGACGCGCTGGATCCCCAAGGTGCCCAGACCTCACCAGGCACTACCTGAAACAAGACCTAGGTTTTGCAGTGTGCCATGCTGCACCATGTGTGTTTGTTCCCTAAGTTTTCTCATCTGATCCTCGCAGCATGCTGTGAGGTCAACACTGTTATGGGTCCATTTTGCAGAAGAGGAAATGGGCTCAAAGGTCACTTGGCCAAAGCAGTGGTCATTCGTGCTGCTCCCCACAAACTTCCGGCTCTCTGCTTCTGGCACGGGGTAAGCCTGCAGGTCCTCCCTCTTTGGCGGTGCTGTCTGGCCATTGACTTACTTTGACCCGTGAGATGCAGGTGGACTTTGGTAGCTGTGACCAGTGACTTTCGTCGGTGGAATGCGGTGGTGCTGACGTGTGTCACCTCAAGGTGGAAGTCTGAAGAGCCTCTGGCACCCTCGTGCCTGTGTTATTCCTAGCAGGTGAATGAGAAATAAACTATTTGCAAAGCCAGTGAGCTTACAGTTGTGTGTTGCCATGCATGGCCTGGCCTAGTTTGATAGAGCAGGGCCAGAATTCAGAGTCTGGTTCTATAAAATGCCAGGGAGCTTCCTGTCTTTCCAGGGCTCTACCTGTCTCCACACAGATGGCTCTCCGGGGTTCTGCTGTGTGGAGCCCTAGCGGGGCAGGTGGAGGAGGGCAGGCAGCCTTTCTCTCTCATTTACGATGTGACTGACTTATTGCTGAGTCCTGGAAACTGACTGAATGAGGATGGGCTTCTGTGAACTCTGTGGGGCTCAGAGCTCTCCTCAGGGTCTTTAGGACCCCCCTCCCCCAGTAGTAACTGAGAAGTTGCAGGGGCCTGGCCTTTCCAGTGCCTCCCACCTGGCCAGGAAGCAGTCCCCGAGTGGGTGTTAGGACACACCTACTTAACCCCTGTCCACACCATTCTTCTCTCTGGGACTCAGCTCCTCTTCTGAGAAATGGAGCCTCTACAAAGGGTTAGGGTCACTGTTTGGAGGTTCTTTTGTTTAAAATTGATTTATTCTTTTATGTGTGCATTGGAAAGGCAGAGTGTCAGAGAGAGAGAGAGGGAGGGAGGGAGGGAGGGAGGGAATCTTTTATCTGCTGGTCCACTCCCTAAACAGATGCAATGGTGCAATGGCTGGGGCTGGGACAGGTTAAAAAGCAAGAGCCTGAAACTCCATCCAGGTCTCCCACATGGATGGCAGGTGCCACCCGACTTCCACTGCCTTCCCAGGAGCATTAGCAGGAAGCTGGATGAGAAGTGGAGTAAATGGGACTCAAACTAGCATTCCAATATGGGATGCAGATATCGCAAGCGGTGGCTTGACCTGCTGTGTCCCAACACTGGCCCCTGCTTGGCGGTGCTAGGGGAAGCCCACTCTGGAATGTATCCATCTCCCCAGAGGTGCCTGCATCATCAGCCTCGTAAAGCAAACCTCGACAGCCAGAGTTGTGCAAGCTTGCACTGCATGGTGCAAGGCTCAGAATCCTACATGCTGAGTGCAGGTTTCATCCTGTGCTGAATTTCAGTGAAGGGAAGCGTGGGATCCCAGCCTTGGCAGAGGCTGGACGAGAAAAGTAAGCAAGCATTGCAAGAAGTCATCTGCTTACGTGTCCACACAGACTCATGCATGGATGGTTACAACTGCCCGGTCACAGGCCCAAGCTGAAAACAACCCAGGTGCCCACCAACAGGTTCTTGGATATAGAAACTGTGGTGTGTCATGCAATGGGGCACAATTCAGCCACGAAGAGAAGTGAGCTATGGGCGCAGGATACAACCTGGGTGAGTCTCAGGATTCACTGTGCTCCGAGAAAGAAGCCACACCCAAAAGAGCACAGTGCTGTGTCATCCTACTGCTATAAAAATTCCAGAAAATGCCAACGAATCTGCAGCATCGGAAAGCAGGTCAGTGGGTTAAGTTGCTGCTTACGATGCTGGAGTCCCGTTGGGGTGCTGATTTGAGTCCCGGGCTTTACTTCTGATCCAGCTCTCTGCTAATGGGCCTGGGAAGGCAGCAGAGGCTGGCCCTGTACTTGGGCCCCGTCATCCACATGGGAGACCCAGATGGACTTCTTGGGCTCTTGGCTTCAACCTGATCCAGTTCCAGCTGTTTTGGGGAGTGAATCATTCTCTCCCTCTCTGTCTGTCACCCTGCCTCTTAAGTAAATAGATAAGTAAGTAAGTAAATAAGCAAATCTTAAAAACAGAAAGGAAGGAAGGAAGGAAGGAAGGAAGGAAGGAAGGAAGGAAGGAAGGAAGGAAGGAAGGAAGGAAATGAATTAGTGATTGCTTGGTGAGAAGAGGAAGGGAATGGGTAGAGTTGGAGCAAGAGAGATCTCCAAGGGTCACAAGCAAATATTTAGGGATGGGGGGTGAATCCACTATCTTCATCTTGATGTTGGCGATGATTCCAAGGGTGTGTGCATTTGTCGAAGCTACTCAAGTTGTATACTTTGAATATGTGCAATTTACTGTATATTACTTATACCTAAATAAAGTTGTTTTAAAATGAAGAGTCACTTGTTCCAACTTCTTTGCCGAAACAGAGGTGCAGAGTGGCTGGGGACTTGTCCTGGGTCCTGGGGACAGTTAGCTGTAGTCCTAGCCACTACTGGATAGGCCCTCTCCTCTGTACCACATAGCCTGTGGCTCATTGAGCCCTCCTCGCCCTCCCCCAGCCCCTCTGGAGGGGGGCAGGGGCAGGGAAGCAGAGAAGCACACAGGGAAAGATGACACAGAACAGAGAAAGTGCAGGAGGCCAGGCTGGGAAAGCCAGAGATGAGAGCAAGACATAGAGGTGAAGCCACAGGCCGAGGACCAGGGGAGGGGAGGGGAGGGGAGGGATGGGACCCCAGAGCCCACCCTGCCCTGGGGAGGAGAAGGTCTCCTAGGCAGTGCTAGCCAGGGCTCTGAAGGAGCCATCTCCCTCCATCAGGTCCCACCCTCGCAAACTCCTTCCCTCCCCCACCCTGGGTGAGCCATTGCTTTTCTGGGGTTTGTATGGACATTTGCCTCTACCAGACCCCTCCAAACAAACTGCCCATGTATGAGCATTTAACATTTTGTTTTATTTTTTGAGATTTATTTTATTATTTATTTGTAAGGCAGAATGACAGAGAGAGGGGGAGAGGCAGAGAGAGAGAGAGAGAGAGAGAGAGAGATCTTTCAACTGCTGGTTCACTCCCCAACTGGGCAGGCTGAAGCCAGGAACTCCATCCAGGTCTCCCACACAGGTGGCAGGGGCCCAAGTACTTGGGCCATCTTCTGCTGCTTTCTCAGGCATATTAGATGGGAGCTGGATTAGAAGTGGAGCAGCCGGGACTGTAACCCAAAGTTGTGCTTGGATATGGGGTGCTGGAAATGCAGACACAGTTTAACCCCCTGTGCCACATGGCCAGTCCCAAGCATTGAGCAGTTGAAACACGGAGTGGGGGAGGGGAGGCACAGGCCAGCTGAGGAGTCCACCAGGTGAGGTGGCAGTCACTGCCACTCCACCCCCTCCCCAGCCCTGTGTGTGCTGTGTGCAGCATCTCCCAGAGAACTTCCGGGAAGCTCAAAGACCCCTTGACCAAGACAGTCGTGCTGGCCTGAGGACAAACAGCTCTTGGAATTCATCTGTGTCCTCTGACCCCGGGTTTCCTGGCCCTCACACTGGCAGAGGGGACCCTTTGCCTGAGGATTGGGAACCAGAATGTGGAGAACAGGAAAAAACTTTGCTTTCTATATTGGGCACCCAGGGGAAGGCGGCGACACACACAGCAGTCTGAGTCCTGGTCCAGAGGAACAGGCTCACCATCTCTCCCACCCACACCCGTGCCAGACTGGTTCCTTGGTCTACTGAAGGGGAAAGAGGAGATGAAGACCCAGCCTTGGAAGGGGCCAAGCCCCTAAGACAAAAGAACCAGGCCTGGGTTGCCATGCAGAGAGAGATGGATCACAGGTGCAGGCGCCCCCTGCCGCCGAGTCAGTGTGCACCCTGCCTCCTGCCTGGCTGTCTCCATACAAGCCACTCTGTGTGGTCAGGACGTGTGCGAGCTGTCCCCAAAAACAAAAGGCTGGGAGCGGGGACTACCAGAGGGGGAATGATGGTACCTGGGTGGTGCTGACAGTGGGAAACCCCCATGATACCAGATTATTAAATATACAATTGCCATTTGGAGGGCAGGCATTTGACATGCCTAGGACGCCAGCATCCCACATCAGAAGGTCTGGTTCAAGTCTCCGCTCCTGATTCCAGCTGCTTGTTAATGGGCGCCCTGGGAAGCAGCAGGTGATGGTTCAGGTACTTGTGTTCCCGCCAGCCTCATGGGGAACCAGATGGAGTTCCAGGCCCTTGGCTTCAGCCTACTCCAGCCCCAACTGTTGTGAGCGTTTGGGGAGTGAACCAGCAAGATAGGAGATCTCTCTTGGTCTGTCTCTTTTGTAGACCAAAAAGGATGGAATACTGGCAATCTCAAACAATCCAGTCTAGTGCGTGTTCCTTGGCAGCTGACCTGGTTTAGTCTACCATTCATCTGCCCTGCCTCTTCCCTCCCTCATTTTGTCCTTTTCTTTCTCTCTCCTTTTTTCTTGTTTTCTTACCCAAGGATACAAAGTAAAGACCGGGTCCCTGCCCTTGAGAAATTCACAGTATATTGGGAGAAAATAAACAGCAGCCCTGATCATGGTAACATTGTAACAAATGCACAATGCAGGTCATTAGGGCTTGGGGGATAGGGGAGCAGAGGGCCCTGCCCTGGAAGCCTGAAGGAGTTGGGCCTATGTGCAAGAGGGCCTGTGGGGTTGACTGTGGCTGGGCTGGGTGTGCGAAGCATCTCCGGCCCCTGGGAGAGGATGAGCTGGGGACTGAGGGCAGGGGAGATTGCCAAGTGAGCCTCACCCCAATACAAGGGTCGAACAGCTTTAGAGGTGCCCAGGCTCCTGTTAGCCACCTGGCTTCACCAGTACGTGGCCAAGTGACTTTGAAGAATTCACTCAGCCTTTCTGAACCTCGGTTTTCTCATCATAAAATGGGATTAGCAGTAATGCCTATTTTATAGGCAGTATTGCAAAATAGAGGGGATTAAAAGCGAGGCACTTAATGAACCAGGCTTGATGTATGTGAGCTGTTATTGTTCTACGGGTGAGGGAATCAAGGGAGGAGGCGTTTTTAAAAGAACACAGCTAGGGGGACCAGCACAGTGGAGTAGCAGGTAAAGCCACCACCTGCAGTGCCAGTATCTCATATGAGCACCAGTTCCAGACTCCGCTGTTCCACTTTTGATCCAGCTCTCTGCTGTGGCCTGAGAAAGTAGTGGAAGATGGCCTACATCCTTGAGTCCCTGAACCCACATGGGAGACCTGGAGGAAGCTCCTGGCTCCTGGCTTCCAGGGAATGGGAGATCTCTCTCTCTCTCTCTCTTTCTCTCTCTCTCTCTCGCTGTAACTCTGCCTCCTAAATAAATAAATAATTTTTTGAAAAAAAAAATAGTTAGAAATGGGTGGTCTGCAAGTCCCAGCTTTTCCTGCCTTTCACTGTTACCTGTATGAGCTC